AACATAAATTTTTACCCATCTAAGTTTTAGTTAGAAATTAAAAAAAAACATGTTTTCAGTGGCTATAACTCTATATTTTAACCTGCTTTTGAGGAAAACAGGTTTTGAGGGTTTTATTGTTTAGTTTTGTTTTTCTGTTTCATTTTGGTCAGTTTCAAAGAAAAGCCTTTATTTAGTTTTGTTTTCTGTGCAACTTCCATGAATAGTAAGTTATGGACATGGAGTTCTTGCTATGCAATAAAACCTACTTAGGAAAAGCACTGTGAGGTTGCTTCATTAGATCCAACCCTGTAGAAATAAATAATGCAGATTCATTTTTGAATCTGGCAGATAACCATGGGTGCTATTTTAGGGGAACACAGTACCCTGGTACTCAGGGTTTTTAAATAGTCTCTCTAATGTATTAGTCATAAGCAAACACTTTCAATGCCATGTCTGCCTGTGGCCCTCTAGCAGACATTAAAACTGTTGACAATTAACTGGTTAATTGTATTTTAAAATATGACCTGGACATATGTTTAGGCAGTTAGTGGCATAACAAAAAGTGAAACCAGCCACAAAATTATTACACAAAAAATAAGAAGCTATGTGTAATATTTTTGTGGCTGGTTTCTAACGTGCCTTAAAATGAACATGTGGCAGAATGGACTACATTGAGGCTCCAGTGGGCCCCAGTTCAGTCCCAGTCTAGCCAGCGATCAGCTGATTGTTGTCTGGCTCCAGGGGCTTGCCCACGGGGTGGCAGGAGCCAGCCGACAATCAGCTGAAGCATATTTGGGATGAACTTTTGTGCTCCTGGGCTCCCCCTGTACTGGCAAGTAGAGTGTGATTGGGGTCTCATCCCAAACTCGTGCATTGTCATGCATGACAGGCAGTGCAACTGTTGAAATCGCAAATCAGATCTCATCATGCCTTTAGCTGCACCTCTGTCAGTGGCCTTAGTGTAAGTTTATTTTTTAAAGAGAAGAAGCACTGAAACTTTTTAAGCATTTTTTTCAAAGGTATGGATGTAGGCTGGTTTTTCTTTTCTTTTTTCTGAAGTAGTCTTTCTGCCAGTAAGTGGAAGATAGAGCCAGTGACCCAGGGATGTGAAGAAAGTAGCTTTGAGCACCTCAGGTGTAACGTTCCAGAAATATAAACATGAAAAGACAATGGTTATCTTCCTAAAATAGACTAGGAAGATTTGAGTGGAATTCCTATAACTTTGAGCTCTAGGGCAAATTGCAGCTTTGCTGCTAAATATTGTGGTCTAACTCTGATAACATGTCATATGTCCAGGACCAGCAAAAGCCTGGGATTTAAAGTGGAGTTGACAATAACAGGAGTTGCATGCCAGGGGCTAACCTGACGAAGCCATTCACAAGACAAGGGCCAGCCATAAAATGTTGTTGTTGTTCTGAATATGTATTTTGTCTTGTGTTCCACAAATTGCACTGGGAGCCCTTCACAAAGGGTATTGCTGTGGCTCTGAATTTGGAAGTGTTAGAATTTATGCCCTGCCAGTTTGTTAACATTTTTTTTTGTAAGCCAATGTAATACTCAATATAAGAAATGAAATAGAAACCATAAAAAATGTACAGGAAACCATCGCTATTCATGGGTTCGGCATTTGCAGTTTCAGATGTTTGCAAATTCCAAACCTGCATTTTAAATACATTTTATGCATTTACAGGAGTTCCTCGGGAGCTCCGTGCTTGCTGCTGCCAGGCTCCTGCTGCCACCGCTGGGCTCCCACCACCACTGCTGGAGCCATGCCCCCCAGCCGCCAGATTCGCAGATTTCACAATTTGTGGGGTCTACAAGAATGTATTCCCTGCGAATGGCAAGGGTTACCTGTACTATGTTAAAGTAAATCAGTGCAATTAACTAGAAGGGGGACATTATATATTGTCCTTAAGCCCTCTGTTGATAGCACTACACCTGACCTTTACCTGCTCTCTGATCCTCTTTTTTGTATTTTTTTTGTCTTTTTCTCAAGGGTTTCACAAACACACCCTAAAAGTTGTGCTAGGCAGTAAGCCCTTGTGTACTGTATACTAGTTAACGACAAGATAATTTACAAGTATAGCACTAAAGCCCTTGAAAAGCCATACTTAGGCTCTGGTGGTACTCCGTATTACCAGATGCTGAGCCATGTGCCGGACGAACACTTTTTTATGGTAATTTTTTGCTGTTGTGTATCCTTGCATGTATTTCTTCAGGGAGGCAAATTACTTTTGCCATAGTTGTCTGCTGACTGATTTGATCTCAACATCTGCTGGAGATAAACATCTGTAAACATTGGGATACCCAGATAACTTGCACTTGAGGCTAAATGAGTTGGCTGAGGAGATCAGTAGCCTGCCAGTGTTAACTTTGTAACAAATTTTGAAGTATCAGGAAAATTTCAGAAGCTGAAAGAGTGCTAGTGTAGTGTCAGTTTTGGAGTAGGACAAGTCAGTTACTGCAGACTGGTTAATCTAAGACAAAATAATAGAAAAATAGGCCTAAGGGGTCATCTACTCTATTTTGTTTTATGGAAAAAAAATCTTAGCAAACTAAACTTGATTTAATTTTGAGATAAAATTTAGCTGATAGAGAGACCTGCATGGGTACAATATACTTTTGTAAGCTTTTTGCTTTAGTGCAACACCAGGATTCTGCTTTTAAAAAGTAATAGCTCGACACACTATAAATAAAAATGCACTGAATGGATTTTTGAGTGGCTATCAAAAATCATAGAGGCAGTAGCTCAGGGATTATTATTAGCAGTGCACCGATACATAGGTCCCATATTGCATCAGCACCAATATAAGGAAAATTGACAGTATCAGCAGTCGGTTTTTTTTGGTTGCTAATGTCACCAATAAATGCCCTGTGCACATGCGCAGCCGCAGCACAGCAGCAGGTGGCCAAGAGTGCAGCCCGGCAATGTGGAGAACAAGCATCTGGCTGGAGTGGGGGGGACAGATAGAGGCTCCTGCAGTGAGGGAGGGAGTGGGGCTGGTGCGGGTGGTGCACAGCCAGGGTGGGGCATGGGATGGAGCTGCGAGCACCTTGTCTAAGGGGCATGGGGAAGGGGATGGCTCCCACTGCTGGATACACCCCTGGAGAGCATGGGGGCATGTGCCCCTGGATCTGCATGTAGGGCAAGGGCGGGGTGCTGCTGCAGGCTGGGCCAGGGGCTGCACCGAGTTCTTCCTGGCAGGGGGCTGTGCCAGACTGTGCTCAGGGCAGGTGGTGGTGGTACTGGGTAGGGAGTTATGAGGGGGCTGCAGCCACCTCAGAATTTGCCATAGCCCCCCCATAGCAGCACTGCTGCTGCCTGTCCTGAGTGCAGCCCTGGCACAGCCCCCCTGCCAGAAAAAGCCCAAAGCTGTCTCGGCTCCAGCCCGCAGCAGCAGCCCACCCTCACTCTGCACACAGATCCGGGGGCACACGCCCCCCATGCCCTCCCAGGGTGCGTGCAGTGGCAGGAGCCACAACCTCTCATGGCCCCCAGACAAGCCAAGGTTCTGTCCCGTGCCCCACCCCAGCTGGGCAGTGCCTGCCCCACTCCCTCCCTCACCACAGGTGCCTTGATCTGCCCCCCCGGCCTTTCCTCCACAACAGACTTGCCAGTTAGATGCTGCTGTCCATGCCACCTGGCCACATATCGGCAATCAGATTAGTATCAATAGTATTCAGTATTTTCATCAGTGGTCTGGAAGTGGTCACTGGCAGATGACACAAGCATTGGCAAAGTATTAAGTAATGACAAGGACAGGGTCAGCATACAGATAAATCCAGCTTGTTTGGTAAACTGGCCCATTTCAAACAACTGTGTGTTTTAATACAGTCAAAGGAAAAGTTGTATGTATTTAGGAACAAGGAATGCAGCCTGTTCCTACAGAATGAAAGACTGTATCCTGAAAAACAGTGACTTTAAATGCAGATATGGGGAATTCTCAGGGAAAATAACTCACAGTTACTGTAGATGTGAATTTAAAGTGGATTTAAACTCATGTTGATGTTTTTATTTAGAATTTGAATAGCCTTAATTTGACTTATTTTACTTGACCTTGGATCAGCATTCTCTAGTATCCCCATGTGGACAAGTCATGAGCAGTGACCTGATTCCAGCATATAAATACCTTCCTGGGGAGAAAGTACAGAGTACTAAAATTGCTCTTTTAATCTGAGAGAGAAAGGCATAAAAAGCTGGAAACCAAAGCCAAATCCAAATTGGAAACAAGGCACACGTTTTCTATCTGAGTGTTATTAACTAATGGAACAACTAAGTACAGAGTGTGGTAGATTTTCCATTTCTTGATGTTTTCAAATCAAGAGAGGTTATCTTTCTGGCTCAATTCACTGGTAAGCTGATTAAACTTGATGGCCTTGAGATGCAAGAGTTCAGACTAGCTGGTCTAGTGGTCTCAAATTATGATCATATGGACTTATGCGGATAGACCTTTATGTACAAGAGTCTCGAATAATAAAGTTTTCTTCATTAATGAATACGATGAATGCAGAGTTCAGGCAGGACGTAGGCAGCCAGGCCTGCAGATTGGCCCCTGAATGGCGATGAGGAGGTTAGCTGGGTGGGGGTGCAGATAACCAGGGCATCAAGTTGGGGTCTGGGTCAGCAGAAGGGAGACCCAAGAGACGTAGTCCAGGTACAGGCTAAGGTCAGAAGCCAGGAGAATCAGAGAGCCAGCCACTGGGTTTCAGGGAGGATCCAAGAGCAGAGTCAGGAGCTAGGAGACCCAGAGGGAGCAAGGCTTGCCAGAGCACACTGAGTTTCTTGTCAAGGAATGCCTGCTGCCTGAGGCTGAGCAGTGCTCTCAGCAGCCAGTCCAGTTACAGGGAACTGGGGCAGTAGCATTAGCCAGGGATCAAGGTCAGGTGTAGAAGCTCAAGGGCTTAGCCTGACTGGCCACAGGCCCTGACAATGAGTCTTGATGAATCTGAGTTTACTTCAATTAGTGGAGCTAATTTAACTCAATATTAACATAAAGTAATATTTTATTTCTTTTCAGGTAATAATATATGGAGATTTGCCAAAAAATAAAGAAAATATGGTATGTATATCAAATCATCAATGTACAGGTTTGTATCTCATTTTGTACACTTCCCCTTACAGAAAGATAGACAACAACTTAGATTATAGGTGCTGTTTAAAGTAAATAATTTCACTACTTCTACAGTTGTGAATTTGGAGAGAAGATGATGATTTATTTATTTTATCTTAATCTTGGTAGTACTGTGCATCTCTTTAAGAACCTTCTTTGAAACAAGCTATTTGGAAACGGCCATTGGAAGGAAGCATTCATATTTTTCAGCTCCTTACTATGAGCAGAGAAAGATATTAAGATTCTCATTCTATTGCTTATACAAATGTGTTGATTCTGATTTGAGATAATAGGTTGTTTTCAAGGTCAGCTTATAAATTTCTGTTAGAACATATGTGTGTATTTTTATAATCACTTTCTTATTACTCAGATGTCTTACAAGAAATATTGTATCATTGGCTAAAGCGAAGCAAGTTAAATATAGGCCACACATCAGAATCAACATACACAATTTCTTTCATATCTCTGAAGCTGATTCTGCAGTGTCTTTGCATATGGTCGTGTTCAGCACAACATAAAGTTACTACGTATTGAAGGCATTTGTTGTGGAATTTGCTCCTTTATGTACAGTCTATAATATGTAAATCAGATACTTTAGAACCTAAAATCACTGGTTCTCAAGTGGGGTGCCACAGCTTGAAGTTGTGGCAATGCTGCAACCAAGTAAAACTACCCTGCGTGCAGTGCTGGGGCACATGTGTGTCCCACTCCAACATTAACTCTCTAACCCGAAAGCAGGCAAGAGAGCTGGCTTGTGCTGCAGCACTTCCTGATTTCCCTAAATTGCTGTTCATTATATGGTGGCTGGACTGAACTCAGCTAAGTTACTTCCCTTTATGTCTGCTTTTCTTTTAATGGAGGGTACCTATAATTCTCTCCAAGAATTAAGGTTTAGTTTAGTTTAGAATGGAGATAATGCTTGCCTCAGTCAGTGCACTTTAGAAAAGTTTTATCAATCTATTCCACTGCCTCCACTGTTTCAATAGTGAAGACATTTTTCCTGATATTCAGTCTAAACCTACTGTGCTGCACTTTCAAACCATTGCTCTGTGTTCTGCTTTCTGTGTTAGGGTTTGGGGCATAGCTGGTTGGGGGTGGCTACCTGAGAGATGGGCCGAGTCCAGGAACTGGGTTCCCAGAGAGTTGGGATATGCCAGGCATGAGACCTGGAATGAGGAACAAAATCACGAGTTAGGATATGTCAGGAGCCAAACTGAAATCAGGAGCCAGGAGTCAAAACCAGAGATCTGGTCAGTGAAAGCCAGGAAGCGCACAGGGGCAGGAGCCAAGTATCTTAGTCTTTGCCCAAACAGAGGACTGCAGGATGAGACTAACTTTTAAAGTCTGGAGCAGGTGGGTTTGTTGCCTGAGGACTTACAACATTGCTTGCTCTGATTGCCCTACTATGACTAGAAGGCCTGGGACACTGATCCAGGCTTACTGCAGGCAGTGCCTGTTCTCCTGTAGCCTCGGGGTGAATTGCCCTGATTCCTGATCGGTCTTAAGTGCCTTTTCTGTCAGCTGAACACACCTATGTCCTTCAACCTCTCTCCTTGCCTTCCAAGCCCTTTATCATTCTTGTTGCCCAGCCTCTCACCCTCTCTAACTTCTCCGTGTCTTTTTTTTTTAATATGGAGCCCTGCACTGTACACAGTACTCTAGATGAGGCTTAATTAGTGCCAAGTAAAGAGGCACTATCACCTCTTGTGCCATGCACCTTGTATTTTTATTGATTCATCCCAAAATTATGTTCAGCTTTTGTGCATCTGCATCGCACTGCAGACTCATATGGAGTCTGTGATATGTTAAGGCTCCTAGATCCTTTGCCATAGAGCTGTCATCCAGACAGGTGTCACCCATCATTTATTTGTGCTTTTGAATATTTTTCCTGAGATGTAGCACCTTATTTTTGTTAGCATTGAACTTTATCCTTTTGGTTCCAGCCCAACTTCCCAATCTGTCAAGAGCCTTCTGAGTTGCGCTCCTGTCCTGCACTTGTTCGCAGTCCTTCCTAGTTTTGTCTTCTGCAGATTTGTTCAAAAAACTATCTATTCCAACATCAAAATCTTTAATAAATACTGAATAACACTGGTCCCAGGACAAATTCCTGTGGGACTCAGCTAAAAACCTCCTGCCATTTTAACTGTTTTTTTTTACTTTTGCCTTCCTAATTTGTTCCTTGCAACTTCTTGCTTTTTCCTGGTATGCTTCCTTGGTGAGCTGCCCATCTTTCCATTGCATTGCCTCTATACTTTCCTTTTACATTTGAGGCATCCTAAAAGCTACTTATGCAACCACATTGGTTCCTTGTTATTCTTGTGCTTCCGTTGTGTTGGAGCATCTTGTTGGGCTTCTAATACTGTGTTCCTTAGAAGCTTCTAGCCCTTCTGGGGAGCTTTATCTTTCAGTCTGCCTTGCACCATGCCTACTAGCATCTTATGTCAGCTAAAATCCATGTTTTTTAAGTGCAGGGTCTTATTTCTGCTGACCTCATGCTTTCCCAGTGTCAGGATCTTTCATGTTGTGATCATTTCTTCCCAAGTTTCCCACCACAAATTGAACTTTTAATTGTTCAAGGAAAACTGGAAGCCAAGCAGAACCCCTTTTAAAATGCCTGGCTCTGTAATAGTTAACATATTTAAATGAGATTGAGGAAAGCAGACACTTCATGACATTCTTGGTTATGTAAGAAGTTGCTGTGAGGGAAATAGATATAGAAGCAAAGTTTCAAAATAGGACTTAATTTGTGCACTTACATGTATATATATGCACATTACATTCTGCATTACATTAAGTAAGCATGCTTCAAGTAACATTTTTGGTGCAGAACTTCAACAGCAAAGAAACAAAAAGTTCAATAGACCTTTTTAAGAATTTTAATATGCTGTAGTGCCTTGTACAACTTGAACTAGTATCCAATATAGAGATGTGTGAATTTAAAATCTCTTTTTAAAATAAATGCTAGAATAGAATCAGTGTGATTATAAGTTGTCTTGTGATGTAACTTTGTAGTGCTGGATAAATTCTTCTTGTGAGAATCACAGTTACTATTTCAGAAGCAATTGTTTTCTCTGAGTAAGTTGAGACTTAATGTAATTAAACTGTTTGGGCTTTTGTCTTTGCAGTTGACTGGATCATTGCAGACATGTTGGCAATCAGACAGAATGCTCTTGGACATGTACGATATGTTTTGAAAGATGGCTTAAAATGGCTGCCCTTGTATGGGTGGTATTTTTCGCAGGTAACTTAATCTATTTTTTTCCTTATTGTTTACGGGTGAAACACAAAATATGTGGTTGTCTTTGCCACGTATTTCTAACTCTCATTCAAAAAAGGAAGGAGGAGGATTTTCTTTTACCCATGTTGTTAAGCACACTGTTGCCACTGCAGACTAGGCATGAGCCTCCTTAAACAAGAGGCTTCATGAGAAGAGCGTATGTCCTGTGATGCCAGTTAAGGTGTAGTATTTCTGCGTAGATGTTCTTACCGACGTCAACCTCATGGCTTCCGTACTGTCATTTGCTGGCAGTCTCTGTGTGAACAGCTGAAGTTCCTGGGGTGGTAGAATTCAGTGCTGCTTGGAACAAGTTTTAACTCTCAAGCGCTTTCTGCATCAGAGGGGAATGTGCTATTCAGCTAGCTTCTTCACTTCTCTGCCTCCCCCCTAAATAATCAGGTGCAACCACAGTAATGATGCTTCCTTGGGAGGCTGTGCTTTGTGAAGACAATGGCTTTCCTCTTCCATTTCCTCCCCAATCCTTATGGCCATTTTGCCATTCCTGCCTAATATTAAAGGGCTGCTGAAAATGTGTTGTATGGAAATATTACCACAGTTTGCCCTTGCATATAGTCATCATGTTTATGGTGGCCAAATTCTTCCTTTAATAAAAATACTGACAATCGGGATATCTATTCCAGTCACTATCATTATAGGTGTTAACATTTTTCCCAGATTTTGGAAAATCACTGCTACTCTGTGGAATATCCTATGCTCAGTTTCCTTAATATTACACTGACTTTAAAAGACTATCCCTGTGGAAACTAATCTGAATAGCTACACTTTTTACAGATCATATGTATTTACTCAAACCTATTTAGTCTCCATGCCCCAAAGTAGTTTGCTATTAGAGGCATATAATAGAATAAGATGGGTATGACTGATTCAGTAACACAAGCGTAAAGCAATTCTCAGACAATGGTGAGTACCCGTGTATTTCAGAAAAATGTGCTTAAATTACTGAGAAGGGAGACAGCAGGACTGTAACAGAAGCTAATAGGTATTTTTTATTGTCTTTATCACACCAAACACTGCAAAAACATAAAACACTTCCTGTTCTTCCTGTTGATGCTCTGTTAGTGATGTCACTTACACTCCACTAAAAATTTCCAGTGACACATAATTACGGAATACTCATGGAATTTACATTCCCTGCCTCGGGTAAACATCCTGTTTTGGAATATACGTATTCTGGATATCCAGTAAAGCAGAATTCAGGCGGAGAGGAAACATATTTGTAAACACAATTCATTGTTGCCTGAGAAAAAAAGTTTGAAAAGTACAGAGGAAACAATTTGAAAATATAAAAACAGTACTTCCAGAAATCTGTCTTGAGAAAAACATGTATGTTTTGATCTCTTGTTTAAAAGTAAATACGGTAGAACTGTTACAAAATTTGGGAATTTGAATTATGTATGACTTCATAACCAATTCCTTTTTGGGAAACAGGTCTAATAGAAACAAATAAAGGAGCTCCTTATTTAATCTGCTGTGGCACAGGATTGTTTTGTAGGTTAAAATATCACTGTGCATGTAAAGCTGGCCTTAATATTTTTGGGTGATCCACCCAAAACGTTATTTCCCAATTCTTTCATATCAAAATTTATTGACTCTGTTCATCTATCTAAGCAGAGAATGTAGGGGCTAGAGTGGAAAACATTTAGGATATATGTAAAGATTAACCAGCTGATCTTACATGCAGGTGTGTGTTTTGTTTCATGGTGGTCTGTGTTGACTGCTAAGCTTCAAATTGTGTGCCTGTGCGTTTGACCACAGGTGAGAATAATGGATACACCAGTGTGGAATATTTTTGTTCCTTTTTCTCTTGCTTTCATGTTTGTCCCCTCTGCCCCCCAGTTTTGCATCCCTGGAGTCAGTAGCCAGTATATATTGTGCAAATGAGATGTAAAATGATAAAGAGCACAGGAGCTATTATTTAATTGTGCAGATGTTGTATTCATTCTTTGGTTAGGTATTTTTGCATATATATTTACCTAAGATGTACAAGCGAACCTGTTTTATAAGTGAATATGACGAAACTGACACAACAGGGACTGCACCTTTCAGAACGTACCATTATAAGTGTGTGCAACATTTTGTTGCCCCCAGTAATTATGGAAGGGAGTTTAAGGTCTGCTAGAAAGGAAGAGGTATTACTGCATTTCCCCAAATTCCTGCAGATGTTGAGCAGTACTGGGAGACTTATAGTTGACTTGAAGACTTGTAAGTCAGTGATTTTGGTATCCATGGCTGAATTCAGCTCACATTTCATACAGTATGTGGCCTACAGGTCACTTGGTGATTTCTTGCTATTGTTATTCTGTGTCTGGCTATGCTGAATCAGTTCTGCTAGAAAGCAGCCATTCATTTAACCGGGGAGTTCTGACTGAGGAAGTGAGACTTCTGTTTCTGTAGAAGTAGTAACAGGTAATGAAAATTGTGGTTCACTTGTCCCTTCTGTATGAAAACACGCGTGGTAAAAGTAACAGAACTCTTCTCTGATTGTGCAGAGTTGGTGTGCTTCTCCACTGTTGTAGTCTAATGAAGTGGGCAGACAAGGAGAAGAGGAGGAGAAGGCAGCAGAGACTGTGTGGATGTGACGGAGTTGACAGTATCTGTGGGTGCTGAAAGATGTGCACTCCCCACTGTAACTTGTGGTGCTTTGCAGGAAGTGCCATGAGTTACAGCGATCCCCTGGACCCAGCAGACATTTGCTATTGAGTGTGGGGGACTGTGGGATCAAGCTGCAGTTTGGAGCAGCTGTGAGCCTGCAGTCTCCCCCAGCCCTGCCTTCCCCCTCCCAGCACCAGCACCGTCTTAAGAATGGGACAGGGGAAGGAAATAGAGGGAATTTGATCAGGGATTTACCAACCCTCCAGCACAGGCTGGGCAAACACTAGATGGGACTCCCTCCCCTGCCTTCTCCCCCTCCCATTCTGAAGATGGCGCTACATCAGCCCAGCCCTGCTCCCAGTGCACGCTGACAGAAGTTAAGGACAGTGAGAGTTCAGATTGCCATATGATCAGGCATTTTTAAAACGCTCTGCAGCCATGCATTTCTGTCAGGGCATGACTATAAAGCGCTACAGGTGCCCAATCACATGACAAACTGTCATTTCTGTCAGCACCCTGTTACTCCAGCCTCTTGGATCCCTGGCCAACAGCAATCGGAGACTTATGCCTGTGAACAGGGTGTGGAGCAAACCCATGGCCTTGGGGTTATAAGCACTGTTCCAACTGGCTGAGCTAGCTAGCCAACTTATGCTCTTCTTTGGGTCCTCTGTCAGTCCACATGCTTTGTTAGCCAGATAGTAATTTTACAACTGGCTACTTACCCTGAAATAGGCTAGGTGACACAACATTCAGTGAGGAGTTGATATACTATTGACTTCTTGGTGTTTTCTTTTTTCTGTGGTTTTTGGAGAGTACAAGCCAGGGGTGAGCAAAATATGGCCTGCAGGTCAGATCTGGGCCACTGAGGGATTTTTGTCTGGCCCATGGTGGTTCCCTTGGTCCCACCTACCCTGCTCCCATCTACACAGGGGGCAGTCTGGGCTGTGGTGCATGTGGCCACTCCCAATGCCCTCAGGCCCACAGCAGGCTTAAGGCGGTGCAACAGCTGGACTCACTTCCTGGCAGCTCCAGTGGCAGTGGCAATGACTTCTTCTGGCAGCTGCTGTTGCCAGACCTGGGCCCACTGCCTGGGAACCCCAGCCCATCCATATTGTATCCACTGCAGGGTGCGTAGCCGGGTGGCTGGGATGGAGCCTCAGGTGGGCAGGGAGCGGTGTTTGGGAGCGGGGTGGGCAAGCGAGGGCAGGATTGCAAGGCAGTGACAGTGTGGGGCTGGAGCTGAGGCAGAGCCGTGATCAGCTGCCTGCACAGCCCTGCAATGGGCATGAGTTCTATGACCAGCAGCTTGTGGGGAGCAGATTGGGGCCTTGCTGTGGCCCCTGGTCCCATGCTATCACCGCCCAGCAGTCCCAGGGTTTCCATGGAGACTGGCCAGGGCCTGTGTGGGCAGGTGGATGGGATGGGGCTGCTGGTAGATGGGGAGCTGCATCTGGGCCTAGGGCCAGGATCTTGGGGTGATGACAGTGCAGGGCTGGGGCCTAGGGGGTGCTGACTGCAACCTGCAACAGCTCACCAAAACTCCCTATGTGGCCCATGGGCCCAAATACTTGCCCACCCCTGATATAAGCCGTGTATTTGTCTGCACATGCTATTAGTCAAATGTCTTCTTGGAAGGTAGAAAGGTGAATGTGCAAAGTGGGAAAGAAACACATAACCCCTTCCATCTGTCTGGCTACCTATCTTCTGTTTCTGGAATTGAATCCCTCTCCACATAATGCTCCCCAGCACAGTAAAATCATTTAGCTTCCCTAATGTGCTGCAACTCTATTCCCAACGAAGTGTATTTGAATAGGATTTGACTATTAGTGCTAATCCACTTTTGAATTTACTTGAACTGCTTAAAATGAAGATGACTTCGTCAGACCTTGTACAGATGCTAAGTTCTCCCAGGCGCTTTCTGGCCCAGAAATCTGTCGCAGAGAAAGGCCCAGACCTATAGTGGCCATATCACATGGCATGGCATCTTGCTGGATGATTGACAGTCACAGGTCATGTCAGCAAGTGCAAGAGCTGAATCACAAAGCAGTATCAGAATCCCACTTGCGCTAGTCAGTCACTACAGTAGTCTTTTAAAACTGCTTTGCAGAAAAGAAACTATATACTCTAGATGTTTCCAAAACTTGATGCTAACCCAGACAGAATTCCGACTCCTGTTTGACCATTGAAAGGTCAGGTGACTTACTCTGAGCATATTATTCAGTACATTTAAATTATACTAATTAGCAGGTGAGCCTCTCCCTCTGAGCATCAAGGTACACTCAACTACAGTGCAAGAGACATTGACCTATGTTAGAAAAGTGATAATCTCTGATTTATAGAACAGCCTTTTG